AGCAAATGTTCCTCCTAAGGTGATTGTTGTTCACTTGCTAAGTCCTACAACCTCATGGACTGTAGCAAACCAGGCTCCTCTGTCCTCCACCATCTCCCAGAGTTTGCTCAGATTCATGTCCATTGAGTCAGTGATACCACCTAATCATCTCATCCTCTGCCATCCGCTCCTTCTTTTGCCTTCAACCTTTCCCAGCATCAGGGTCTTTTCCAATGAGTATCTCTTCATATCAGGCAGCCAAAGTATTGGAGCTTCAGCATCAGTCCTTCCAATGAATGTTCAGGGCTGATTTCCTTTAGGATGGATGGGTTTGATCTCCTCATAGTCCAAGGGACTCTCAAGAATATTCTCCAGCACAATTTGAAAGCATCAATTCTTTGGTGCTCAGCCTTTCTTATGATCCAAATCTCACATCAGTACATGACTACTGGAAATAACCATAGCTTTGGCTCCACAGACTTCTGTCAGCAAAGTGACGTCTCTGCTTTGTAATACACCGTCTACGTCTGTCACAGCTTTCCTTCCAAGGAGCAAGCATCTTTTAATTTCATGGCTACAGTCACTGTCCCCAGTAATTTTGGAGCACAAGAAAATAAATTCTGTCACTGCTTCCACATTTCCCCCTTCTATGTGCCATATTATATCATAATGTTACTAGACTGTCAGGCTTCATGAGCAAAAATCAGTTCTTTCTCCTGTTTGGATGGCTTAGTATAGTGCCTAATATATAGCAAATGTTCAATCTGCCACATAAATAAGTGAAGCCCACCATGTCTTGGGTGGGCTCAGCAACCTGTTGAGCCTCATCTCCATGCACTTCTCTCTGACTCCAAAACTTCACAAACTCCACAATGCCAAACCACTTGGATTTTTAAAAATAGGCCATGCTCCTTCACTTCTTGAAACATGCTAGATATTATATTAATATCTAGATTGTCTTTGGGGCCCCATATAATTCTATTCCAAAAGTGAGCTCCGAGCCACCTCCTTCACGAAGCCCTTCCTGTCTCCTTTAGGAACACACTGTTTTGTTCACACGTGCATTTTAATAACACATCTGCATTTTCAAAGTCTACTGATGTCTCATGATAACCCACTGAAATATAATATTTCAGACAGATTCTGAATGAGGACCTAGTAAGAAATATGCCTTACACACAACACAATACATGTATCCCGTCGTGTAACAGATGTTAGTTATTTACGCTGTGCTATATGGCAACCCACTCCACTATTGTTGCCTGGGCAATTCCATGGACACAGGAGCCTGGCAGGACAGAGTCAGACATGACTAAGCTACTATCACTTCACTGGGCACTATTCTAGGCCTGGGGATACAGCGGTGAACAGATCAGATGAAAATATTTACCTCCAAGAAGCCTATATTCTGAAATTTTGAGTTGGGTAAAGAAAGATTTCTTAGGCTTTCTGGATAGAAAAAAATAAAATAAAGAAAACTCGAAACATAAACAAGGGGAAAAAAATCCAGCTGGCTTTATACTTCTCCCTGACAATATTCAGCATCAGAAGAAAATGAAACAATGTTGATTAAATTCAATGTGAAACACAAATGTGATATAGCCAAGCAAAAATATGCCTAGTCAGCCATCTCTTTGCCACTACAAACAGATGCCTGGGATGAAGTTGGCCAAACATTAACCCTGGTTATTTCTGACTGGCCAGCTTGCAGACATGTATTATTTTGTTTGTTTTAATTTAACTATTACTTGAATTTAAATATTACTTGAATTCATACTGGCGTGGTATCATTTTTATAAAAATACTAATTACTCTTGATTTTTTTTTTTAAAAAAGTGAAAGTCCCTCAGTTGTGTCCGACTCTGTGTGACCCCATGGACTATAATGGAATTCTCCAGGCCAGAATACTGGAGAGGGTAGCAGTTCCCCCTGGAAGATCTCCAGGGGATCTTCCCAACCCAGGGATCAAACCCAGGTCTCCAGCATTGCAGGCGGATTCTTTACCAGCCGAGCCACAAGGGAAGCCCCCCCCCCCCAAAAAAAAAAGGCAGGAGGGAAAGGATGGCAATGTGCATCAGAGACATCAAAGAACCGTAAATTTTTAAAAGTTCCACAAATTGTACGCTTAACCTTACTATATAAGATGAATTCTTGTATTTTCTATTCTATTCCACTTTGCTTTTCTTAAACTCATTTTGTTCCACTAAATTATTTGAAGTTCCCATCATGAGTTATTATTCATAACTTGAAAAATATACAAGAGGCTATTAATTCAAGGATGGTAGTGATAGTTTCCAAGTAAAGACTGTCAAGAATGCCCAACACTTCTTGGGCACTTAATTAGCATTTCCTGATAAACCACCGAATGAGTGAATGTTTTCCTCAGTAAAACTGAAAGCAACTTGTGAGCAAATTTTGTATTTTTTGAACCTTTGCACTCCCATGGCCAAGCGAAGAGCTGCTGCTGCTGAGTCGCTTCAGTCCTGTCCGACTCTGTGAGACCCCATAGACGGCAGCCCACCAGGCTCCCCCGTCCCTGGGGTTCTCCAGGCAAGAACACTGGAGTGGATTGCCATTTCCTTCTCCAATGCATGAAAGTGAAGTGAAAGGGAAGTCGCTCAGTCATGTCCGACTCTTAGCGACCCCATGGACTGCAGCCCACCAGGCTCCTCCCTCCACGGGATTTTCCAGGCAAGGGTACTGGGGTGGGGTGCCTGTGCCCTCTCGGCAAAGAGCTAGTTCTCATTAAATGCAGTACTGAACTGAGCCCTAGCAGCCAATTGCACAATATGGCACTTCATAAATAGTGAAAGTCACTCAGTCATGTCTGTCTCTTTGGAACCCCATGGACTGTGACCCGCCAGGCTCCTCTGTCCACGGAATTCTCCAGGCCAGAATACTGGAGTGGGTAGCCAGTCCCTTCTCCAGGGGATCTTCCCAAATCAGGGATGGAACCCAGGCCTGCTCGCATTGCAGGGGATTCTTTACCAGCTGAGCCACAGGGAAGCTCACTTCATAAATAGATGTATGAGGGATGAAACATTTCTGATTCTTGATAACTAAAATATTTAAATTGGGGGCTTTAATTGCAACAATTTGTATTTGCCCACAAAAACATGTTTCCCGGAACAACCTGCCACTTCACAGATGTGAAAACTTTTCTATACCCAGGAATTCACACTCAAGCTTGCATGGGCCAGGAAGGGGATAGACACCAATTATAAGGAACTCTCTTGCCTTCAAACCTCCATCCTCAAAACTTCCATTTTTCTTAAGCAAAGGAACTTCAAAACTGTGAGATTACAATTAATTTTTAAATGAGATTCATTTTCTCCATTTCATGCTATATTGTGTAATGACGTGACATCTGTGTGACCTTATTACTACAGTTCTAACAATTTGTGTTTTTTAAGAAAATCTCTGAAGATTTCTCTGCTTCACAGAGTCATTATAGGATTCAAATGAAGAGTTCTTTAAGAGGGATCAGTGTGTAGCCTTCTTTTACAAGCTACAACCCAAATCTTTGTAAGAGAAAATACTATCAGCAACACCCTGGCCATGAACAAATCTCACTTTTTAAAAGGAAGTTCTTATGTCAGAGACTCATAGTATTTCCTTGTGTTCACATCTGGAATTTGAAATTTGTCCATGTTTTTCAAAAAAAAATAAAAACATGGCTACTCATTCTATCTAACTGGAAAAAGTTTTGGTTTTTCTTTTTTCTCACAATTGGCAGATTAATTTTTCTACTTGGCTAAGGAAGTTGTGAATTCAGGTTTAGTTTAGCGTAGCTCACTAAGATTTCTTTTCACTTGATCGGGGAAAGGTGTTGTCTGGGATATCATGACTTCTTTTTTCCTTTCTCTTTCTTCCCCTCTCCAGTTGTTTTGTCTTGCCCACTTTAGACTATCGGTCTAGTGGAGAGATGTTGACAAAACAGAACAAAATTATGAGAGAGAAAGCGGTGGAAGCCAGCCTGAGATGCAGCTCTCCCAGCATTAATTCCAGGCAGGGAAATTTAAACAGCTCGATTTGCTTTCTTTTTTTCTTTTTTATGTGAATATGTTCGTATGGGCTTCCCAGGTGTAGTGCACAGGTAAAGAATCCACCTGCCAATGCAGGAAGCAAAGGTTCAAAGAGATGCGAGTTCTGCTCCTCGGATGGGGAAGACCCCCTGGAGTAGGAAATGGCAACCCACTCCAGGCAAGAGCCTGGAAAATTCCCTGGACAGGAGCGCCTGGAAGGCTACTGTCCATGGGGCCCGCAACCAGTCCAACGTGACTCAGCACTCACGCGCGCCAGGTTGGTATTAATCTTTGAACAACAAACAGGTGAACGAATTACTTCGTTTAAAAAAAGGACTCCAGCTAAGGCCAGTGTTTCCTCTGGGTCCCGCTCCCCACCCTCCCTCTCCCGCTCGTCACCAGGCCGGCCGGTGTGTGCTGGGTCCTTCTCTCTATTTTCATGCAACTTGGACTCTCTGCGATCTCATGGACTATATAGTCCATGGAATTCTCCAGACCAGAAAACTGGAGTGGGTAGCCTTTCCCTTTGCCAGGGGATCTTCCCAACCCAGAGATCGAACCCAGGTCTCCCGCATTGCGGGCGGATTCTTTACCAACTGAGCTATCAGGGAAGCTGTACATAGNGCGGGCGGATTCTTTACCAGCTGAGCCACGAGGAAGCCCGACTTTCACTGGAAACTCACAAGAATGTGCAACTTGTGAGAACCACGCAGGCGCTCACCGTGCCGCTCCACACGGGCACAAACGTACCCCAGGGCTTCTCCCGAGGGCAGCTGGACGTGATCGCCCCGCTTCATCCCAGTCCCGGGAAGCCGCAGCCCCCGCCCCGGGCCCAGCGTCTGCAGGAGCCCCGCGCCTCGCTCCCGCACGGGGGCCGCGGGGCCCCACGGCGCTCCTCCCCGCGCCCGGGACGCCGCGTCCGCGCTCCGCGAGCCCCCTGGACGGGGCTCTTGCAGGGGACACGCAGGGCCCCCGGCCCTTTCGGCGCTGCCTTACCCGCCGGGGACCGCGACCCCAAGAAAAGAGAAGCTGGCTTAGCACCGCCATGTCTGGCCTCCCCAGGTCTGGCCGGAAATGCGCGCGCGAAGGGAGGCGGGTCAGAGAGCCCCAACTTGGCAGGACTGGGCTGGCCAGGGAGGACCCGCCTGGGCGCCTGGGGCTCCCCGCCCCACCCCGGGTCAGAGCCCAGGCCTCTCCAGCGCTTTTTTGTGCTCCAATTACCTTTGTTTTCCCGATTGCTGTTGTTGTTTTAATAGGGTCTTTAATGGAGGTTCATCTGTCCCTCTGTGAGTGCGCGACTTACTGTGCCAGAAGTCTGAAGACTGCAGAAATGCATGACATGGATACACGTGTGATTTAGCGACTAAGTCCTCTCTGATTCTTTGGCACCCCCACGCACTGTGGTGGTAAGGTAAGGAAGTTAGAGAAGACGAGGTCCAGAAAAAAGAACCAGACCGGCACTTTATAGGAACAGATCACCTTTAATGAGGCGAGAAGGGGCAGCAGTCAGATGAGTGAGCTGCCGCACTAACCCAAGAAAAGACTAAGTATATATAGTCATGTATGTGGAAATCTGCTGTCCTAAGGGGGCTGTTTTTCTCCGAGGTTGTTTTCTTAAAGGGATGAGGCAAGGAATTCTGGAGATCGGCCAGAGCTCTGGGACCAGCTGGGAGCTGGGCGTAATCAACCTCAATGTCCACTTTTTCCCCTTCCGTTGGGAGGGTTCTTTGTTTTGCACAGAATGGTGGGGAGGACCTGGAGGGAAGTTCTAACTCCGGGCTATTTTGAGCCCTGTAACTTTCCTTCAGTAGTTGCCCACCAGGCTCCTGTCTGGGGTTTCCCTTGCAAGAATACTGGAGTAGGTTGCCATTTCTTTCTCCAGAGGATCTTTCTGATCTAGAGGTAGAACCTGCCTCTCCTGCATTGGCAGGCGAATTCTTTATCCCTGAGTCACCAGGGAACCCCTTTGTATACACTGCCAGAGTGCTAATCCCTTTTCAGTAGTTTGTTTATTCTTTAAGTGAATGTTTATGTCGAAGCTGAACCACTCATCATCAGAGTAATAATATGTCAGAGTTAAGACACAATCTCTCTTTGCTTAAGGTAAGTGGCTGAAATCTAATAGAAGCTGCAGCTGCTGGGCAGCTTTGACTTTTCCAGAGACACCCTGCGCTTAGTCTCTTGGCAGAGACACAGCGGGAGTCTGACCCTCGGGCTTGGCTTTTTCTCACCAAGAGAGTAGTAATATACACCTCGGAAGTAAAGGCAGCTCTCTGTTGTATCATCCTACCTCTTAGCGTAATGCACCTGTTGACATCCTGTGTAAGCACAGATCACATCTCTTCCCCACTTCTAAAATGTGAATGTTATACATACCTGGAGGAGGGCCTGGCAACTCGCTCCAGTATTCTTGCCTGGAGAACCCCATGGACGGTATAAAAAGGCGAAAGACACTTAAAGATGAACTCCCCATCGGTAGGTGTCCAATGCACTACTGGGAAAGAACAGAGAGCAATTCCTAATAGTTCCAGAAAGAATGAAGTGGCTGGGCCAAAGCAAGGATGACATTCAGCTATGAATGTGTCTTGGTGGTGAAAAAAATCTGATACCATAAAGAATACTACAGCATAGGAACCTGGAATGTTTGGTTCATGAGTCGAGGTAAGTTGGCTGTGGTGAAGCAGGAGATGGCAAGGTGAACATTGGCATTTTAGGAATCGGTGAACTAAAATGGACAGGAATGGGTGTATTTAATTCAGATGACCATTTTCTCTACAACTGTGGGCAAGAATCTCTTAGAAGAAATGTAGCCCTCACAGTCAACAGAAGAGTCTCAATTGCAGTACTTGGTTGTAATATCAAAAACAAAAGAATGATCTCAGTTCATTTCTAAGGTAAACCATTCAACATCACAGTAAATAAAATCTATACCCCAACTACTAATGCCACAGAAGCTGAGGCTGAACGGCCCTATGAAGACCTACAAGAACTAACTTCAGAAACTAACACACACACACACACACACACACAAAGATGTCCTTTTCGTGATAGGGGAGTAGAATGCAAAAGTAGGAAGTCCAGAGATATCTGAAGTAACAGGCAAGTTTGGTCGTGGAGTACAAAGTGAAGCATGACAAAGGCTAGCAGAGTTTTGCCAAGAGAATGCACTCATAGCAAACACCTTTTTCCAACAGCACAAGAGACAACTTCACACATGGGCATCACTAAATAAATGGTCAATACCAAAATACATGCATTATATACTTGGCAGCTGAAGATGGAGAAGCTCTATACAGCCAGAAAAACAAGATCTGGAGTTGATTGGGGCTCAGATCATGAACTCCTTATTGCAAAATTCAGACTTAAATTGAAGAAAGTAAGGAAAACCATTCAGCTATTCAGGTATAACCTATAAAATCCCTTATGATTATGCAGAAGAAGTGACAAATAGATTGAAGAGATTGGATCTGTTAGGCTGAGTGTCTGAAGAACTATGGACAGACGTTTATAACATTGTATAGAAGGCAGTGACTAAAACCATCTTAAAGAAAAAGAAATGCAAGAAGACGAAGTGGTTGTCTGAGGAGGCTTTGCAAATAACTGAGGAAAGAAGAGAAGCAAAAGGCAAGGGAGAAAGGCAAAGATATACGCATCTGAATGCAGAGTTCCAGACAATAGCAAGGAGAGATAAGAAGGCCTTCTTAAATGAGCAAGGCAAAAAATAGAGGAAAACAATAAAATGGGATAGAATAGAGATGTCTTCAAGAAAATCGGAGATAGTAAGGGGAAATTTCATGCAAGGATGGGCATGATAAAGGGCAGAAACAGTATGGACATAACAGAAACAGAAGATATTAAGCAGACATGGCAAGAATATATAAACAAGAACTATACAAAAAAGGTCTTAATGACCTGGATGACCATGATGGTGTGATCACTCACCTAGAGCCAGACATCCTGGAGTGTGAAGTCAAGTGGGCCTTAGGAAGCATTACTATGAACAAAGCTAGTGGAGGTGATGGAATTCCAGCTGAGCTATTTCAGATCCTAAAAGATGATGCTGTTAANCAGGAAAGGAGTACATCAAGGCTGTATATTGTCAACCTGCTTATTTAACTTATATGCAGAGTACATCATGTGAAGTGCTGGGCTGGATAAAGCACAGTCTGGAATCAAGATTGCCGGGAGAAATATCAATAACTTCATATATACAGATGACACCACTGTTATGGCAGAAAGCAAAGAACTAAAAAGCCTCTTGATGAAAGTGAAAAAGGAGAGTGAAAAAGCTGGCTTAGAAAAACTCAACATTCAGAAAACTAAGATCAGTTTTTGTCCCTGCCTTCTGTACAGTGTTACTAACTTTTATCCATTGTCCTTTAGGCACTTTGTCTATCTGATCTAATCTCTTGAATCTGTTTGTCACTTTCACTGTATAATGTAAGGGATTTGATTTATGTCATACCTGAAAGGCCTAGTGGTTTTCCCTACCTTCTTCAACTTAACTCTGAGTTTTGCAATAAGGAGTTCATTATCTGAGCCACAGTCAGCTCCCAGTCTTGTTTTTGCTGGCTGTATACAGCTTCTCCGTCTTCAGCTGCGAAGAACATAATGCATGTATTTTGGTATTGACCATCTGGTGATGTCCATGTGTTGAATCATCTCTTGTGTTGTTGGAAGAGGGTGTTTGCTATGACCAGTGCCCTTTCAATGGCAAAACTCTGTTAGCCTTTGCCCTGCTTCATTTTGTACTCAAGGCCAAACTTGCCTATTACTCCAAGTATCTCTGGACTTCCTCCTTTTGCATTCCAATCCCCTATGATGAAAAAGATATATCTTTTTGGTGTTACTTCTTGACGGTCTTTTAGATCTTCACAGAACCTTTCAACTTAATCTTCTTTAGCATTAGTGGTTGGGGCATAGACTTGGATTTCTGTGATTTTGAATGGTTTGCCTTGGAAATGAACTGAATTTGTCCTGTCTTTTTTAGATTTCACTCAAGTTCTGCATTTTGACTCTTTTGTTGACTATGAGAGTTGCTCCTTTCTTCCAAGGGATTCTTGCCCACAGTCATAGATATAATGGTCATCTGAATTAAATTCACCCATTCTCATTCATTTTAGTTCACTGATTCCTAAAATATCAATCTTCACTGTTGCCGTATTCTGCTTGACCACTTCCAATTTTCCTTAATTCACGGACCTAACATTCCAGGTTCCTATAAAATATTCTTCTTTACAGAGTCAGACTTTGCTTTCCTCCATTAGACAGATCCACAACTGGATGTCATTTTCACTCTGGCTCAGTCTCTTCATTCCTTCTGGAACTGTTTCTCTGCTCTTCTCCGGTAGCATATTGGACACCTACTGACCTAGGTGGGGTGGGGGGCTTTCATCTTTCAGTGCTGTATCTTTTTGCCTTTTTCTGCTGTTCATGGTATTCTCAAGGCAAGAATGCTCAAGTGGTTTGCCATTCCTTTCTTCCATGAACCAAGTTTTGTCAGAACTCTCCACCATGACCTGTTCATCTTAGTTGGCCCTGCAAGGCATGGGTCATAGGTTCATTGATTTGCCCAAGTCTGTGATCCATACGATCCTTTTGGTTAGCTTCCTGTGACTGTCGTTTTCATTCTGACTGCTCTTTGATGGGTAAGGATAAGAAGCTTGTGCAAGCTTCCTGATGGGCGGGGCTGTGCTCCCTCCCTGTAGTTTGGCCTGAGGCCCAACTATGCTAGTGGTGATGGTGACCTCCCCCAAAAGGACTTATGCCAGGATACCATGCCTCCCAGGTCTGCTGCATTCAGTGCCCCGACCCCGTGGCAGGCCAGTGGCAAGCCACACCTCCATCAGAGACTCCCAGACACTCACGGGCAGGTCGGCCTCTGTCTTTGGTGGAGTCTCTCCTCCTTCCTAGGTCCTGGTGCGCACAAGGTTTTGTCTGTGCCCTCCAAGCGTCTCTGTTTCCCCAGTCCTGTGGAAGTTCTGCGATCAAATCCCACTGGCCTTCAAAGTCAGATTCCTGGGGAGCGGGGGCGGGGGGGGATTCCCAGTCTCTTTGCCAGACACCTAGGCTGGGAAGTTGTTGTGGGGCCTTTCACAGCAGTG